CCCCTCGCTTTCTCTCCTCTTCCCATCTTCCTTTCCCTTTCTCTGTCTCTGCCTTGCCATCCAAAGACACCAAACACCCAATCCTTACTCAGCTCACACCATGATCCAGCTTGAGTTTGGAGCCCATCTAGTGAGAGGCTGTCCCTCTGCTCAGGAAGAGAACACACATTCTCTGCCCGATGACCAAATAACCACACTAGTACTTTCTCATCCTCAGCCATGTTTGTGAACTGGGGACTCACCCACACTTGGGCACCTTCTCCATGCCACCAGGTAGGTACCCGTGGCAACTTTGTCCCGCTGCTCAGATGAGTGAAGTGTAGCATGGGGGTTTGCTGGTCTTTATCATAATGACAGGAAAGAAAAGGAGGAACTGGAGAAGGTGCAGAGAGCATCAGGGGCTGAAAGTAAGGTGATTTGGGAGATCTCTTTGACCTTGAAAAGTGTGATATTGGTAAACCAAAAACCCGATGCATGGGGAAGCAAGGATTATACTTATTCCCGCATTAGTAGGCAGCAAGAGAGGCTCTAAAGAAACAAGATGGCCAGGCTGCTTATGCTGCTTTGAATGGACCCTCTCATTGGAGTATTTGCCAAGTCCCCTTGGATATAAGCTGAGATACTGTCTGCCAACAGTGATGAGCCCTGGTAGAAGGAGGTTGGTCATACCATCTAGTGTGACATCAGTTTATATTTTTTTTACAAATGAATGCCATAAAATAGCTGGAATGGTTATTAAAAGGCTTAACAGGGTCCTAGCCAGTTTTGCTCAGTGGATAGAGTGTCGGCCTGCAGTCTGAAAGAGCCCAGATTTGATTCCGGCATACCTCAGTGGCAGGCTCAGTCCCTGGCCCTGGTTGGGTGGGGCTTGTGTGGAAGGCAACCAATCCATGTGTCTCTCTCACATTGATGTTTCTTTCTCAGTGTGTCTCTCCCAGTCCCTTCCACTCTCTCTAAAAATCAATGGGAAGGTGAGGATTAACAACAACAAAAAAGCTCAACAGGATCTGCTGTAAGTTGCTTCCAGAGACTTTGTGGAAAGAGCAACACTGAGTGCTAAAAATGTGGGTAAGGTTGATTCCTGGTGGGAACATCTTCAAGGGCAGTTTCCCATGGGATAGGAATATAGAATGGCAGCCCACAGGATGTTCTGCCCCAAGATCACTATCATGTGCTTAGCACTCTCCTGGGACTAAGAGATCCCTGTCTATTTCTGGAGAAGTCTTGATTTCCATAGAATTTCTGAAGAATGTTAACTTATTTATCCAGGAGGAAATCCAAAAGGGCTAAAGGCCTCAAAATTCTTGTTTCTTCAGCTTAAAAAAAAAATTCTAAGAATTGACCTAGGCCTTGACTGATACTTGAATTTTCTCATAAATTTTAGAATTTAACTGTCAGGTTAAAGAAAAATTTTTCTTGTATTTGTTTGGACTTGTATGACGTCTATAGATTCACTTAGGGAAGTTTTGTATCTTTTTCAATATTGAGTCTTCCTACTTGTGACCATTGTGAATTTCTCCATTTATTTAGTTCTTTAAAGTTTATCATTTGAGGCTTATAATTTTTTTCTACAGGAGGATCTTGCATGTCTCTTGTGAGATTTATTGCTAGATTTTTTTGGTTATTTTAAATAGAATATTTTCTTTTTTTAAATAAATCTTTATTGTTCACATTATTACAGATGTCCCTCTTTTTTTTACCCCCATAGCTTGCCTCCAACTAGTTCCCACCCCACCCCATGTTCTTACCTCCCGCCACTGTCCTCATCTATAGGTGTAAGATTTTTGTTCAATCTCTTCCCGCACCCCTTCCCCCTGAGAATTGTCAGTCCATTCCCTTTCTATGCCCCTGCTTCTATTATATTCACCAGTTTATTCTGTTCATCAGATTTTCTTATTGACTTAATTTTTAGATTCACTTGTTGATAGATATGTATTTGTTGTCACTTCGTTCATAATTCTTCAAATAGGTTTTCAATACCTTGCTCTCTCTCTTCTTCTGGCACCCCCAGAATTCGGATGTTGGTATGCTTGATGTTGCCCCAGAGACTCCTTAAACTATTTTCATATTTTTTAATTCTTTTTTCGTTTTGCTATTCCAGTGGGTGTTTTTTGCTTCTTCGTATTTCAATTCTTTGACTTGATTCTTGGGATCCTTTAGTCTGCTATTGGAACTCTGTATATTATTCTTTATTTCAGTCAACGTATGCTTAATTTCTTACTGGCCCTTTTCCATTGTTTTGGCATTCTCATTAAGATCCTTTAAGGTCTCACTAAGTTCCTCGGAGGTTCGTAGAAGATTCTTGAGTAACCTTATAACTGTGGTTTTGAACTCTATATCCAGTAGTTTGCTTTCCTCCTTTCCTTTCATTTGTGACCTGTTTCTTTGTGTCCGCATTTTGGCTGCTTCCCTGTGTTGATAGAGTGGCTTTGTGTGGTAGGTGTCCTATTGGGCCCAGTGGCTCAGCCTCCCCAATCACCTGAGGTGGACACTCTTGGTGTACCCCTTTGTGGGCTGGGTGCACAGTCTTGTTGTAGTTAAGCCTTGATTGCTGTTGGTATCCCTGGGAGGAAATGACCTCTAGGCCAATTGACTGCGAGGACCCGCTGTGTATATAGTGGAAGAACTTTGTGCAGTAGACACCCTTATGGGGCAGGACTTGCTTCAGTGGGGCTTTGGTGCTGTCTTTTGAGTGTGTCACTTATGGATGTGAGGACTTGAAATCTGGTTTCTGACCACTGGGTACACTGGCTCCTGGATCTCTAAGGAGGTGCAAAGTCAGTTGCTGTGTGAGTCCACCCAGCAGGAGCTACAGTGAGATCTACAGATTTCTCCTCTTTGTTTGGGGTTTGGAACTTTTGAAGCTCTCTGACCCAGCTGCAGTTTGTTAGGTTAGGCTGCAGGCGGACAGGCGATTCATTTGCACTGCTGCGCAAGCTTGGGTCGAGTTGTAAATTGGGTGGGGCAGGGTCTCAGAGAATCACCAGGGCGGAACAAACAGTGATGGCTGTCAGTCAGCCGTCTCCGCGTCTCCGCATCTTCTCGTCCCCGAATCCTGGAATCCCATGCCCCCACAGTAACAATGATCCCTGTGAGCAGCTCTGCGAGAAAGCCACCCTCGCTTTCCGACCCAATGCCAGACAGCCCAGTTTCTTCCCGTAGGAGTCTGGGTCCCTAGAGTCTCGTGTAGTCGAGAGCTTGTATCTCTCTTCTGATTGAAAAAAACCGTGCACCCAAGTCCCGCTGTTTCATGCGCCTCCGTACCTCTGTTCTTGGTGCCTCCACACCTCCTACCCAGCCTCAGTGAGCTTTTTTCTTTCCTTCTAGCTGTAGAACTTCCACTCAGTCAGCTTTCTCCTGGTTCTGGATGATGGCTTTTTGTCTTTTAGTTGTAGTTTTAATGTGGTTGTGGGGGACAGCACGTACAGGTATATACCTTATGCCACCATCTTGGTTCTCTAATAGTATATTTTCTAAAATTGCATTTTCTAACTAGTGCTGCTGTAAAGTGATGCAGTTTTGTATATTTATTTTCTATGTCAATTTTGCAAAACTATTAATTCTTATAATTGGATTGTGGATTCTTCTGAATTTTCCTTATAGATAATCAGTCATGTGAATTATGATAGTTTGTTTCTTTCTATTTGTATAACTTTTATGCTTTAAAAAAATATTTAGTGCACAGACTAGGAGTTTCAATACTGAGTAATAATTCAATGCTGAGTAATAATTATGGTAGTAGTCACCCTTGATTTTTCCTTATTTTAAATGGAATGTTTTTAATATTTACATTGATATAATTTTTCTAAAGATAGTTTGTGGTTATCTTTGTAATATTAAAAATATATCCCTCTATTCCTAGTTGACTAAAACTTTATCACAAACAGTTGTTTTATCAAATGCTATGATCCTGTGAGGTTCCCCCCCTTTTGATATGCTACTTTGGTCAGTTACATTAATTAATTTTCTCATTTTGAGCCACTCTTATATTCCTAGTATGATCCCAATTAACCTTGATATATTACTTGTCATACATTGCTGAGTTCAGT